CTGCCCGCTGGCCGCCGCGTTGTGCCTGGGAACCCTCACCCCCAAAGTGCTGAGCCAATTGGAGAAGCAAAGGTCTTTATGGGGCCGGAATCTGGGGCTCTAGGGGCGGGCAGCTTATAGGAAGCCTTGCTCTGATGCCCCTGCTGACCCCCGAGCGCCCTGGCTCTTCCCCGCCCTGCTAGCTGCGGACACAGAAGGAAACCTGCCCAGAGTGCCAGGAAGAGCCCTGTGCCCACAGACTGTCAGAAGAGAAGCAGGCATATAAAACATTTTGAGTTTATTTGAGCAAAATCAGTTAGAATGGGGCGGCGGCGCACCCAGCAGACAGGAAGGCGCTCGAGGAGCTGTATGCGATGAGACTCACAGGCAGAAGGGGGTGGACGGGAGGTTATAGAAGCGAAAGGCGGGTTGGTGGGTACTCCTTCTTTAGGGGACAGCAGGGCCCGATCAGGCAGGTGACCTGCCCCGCAACGCCGGGCGCCTCCCGCCTGACTGTGGACGGACCCAGTTCCGGGGGAGCCTACCCTGTGATCAGGCCTCGGGTTGGTGGTTGGGGCTTGGCGTGAGCGATTCCGGTTTGGGCCTCTTGTCTTGTTTTTAACAACATACACACACACACACACGCTCATAAATGCACACACACACTAGGCACACGTGCACCATACACACACACATCACACACCATGGCTGCACACACACCACACCCCAACCATCCACACATGTATCACACACAACACACACACACACACACACACACACACACACTGCGCCGGTCAGTCCCCCCCCTCCCACCCCCCGTTCTCCTGCCCATCTTGGATGAGGTTTCCAGGACCTTTGCTGTTGGGTTCATTGATCACCTGTCCTGCGTGCGTTTCTTTGCGTCTCCTATCTTTGCCCATTGCTCCTCAGACTCCCTGCTTGGGGCTTGATCCTTGACCTCCTGTCCCCTGTTGGCCATCCTGGCCTCCCTAGGGGTCAGGTTGAATGTGTCAGGTAGAGTGCCCCATCCTGCCTGCCTCCTCCTGGCCTTCCTACCCAGTACTGGCACCGCTGTGCACCCACAGTTCTGAGACAGAGGGAGCCTGAGGGAGGCACGGTGCATAGCTTCAGGGGTGCCATAGGCATTGAGTGCTCTGAGAGCCCCAAGTCCTCGCCCGTCAGCACCTAAGCAGAGGATGTTGTGAGCCCACAACCGCTCACTGCCCAAGAGGCGTGTGTGTATCCATGTGCCGCCACCAGCACAGAGGCTGGGAGCTCAAGGGTCCACCTCTGCTGCTGGTAGTGTGGGGTCTGTCCAGAACGTGGGGCGCAGGGGTCCCCGGTCTGAGGGGGCCTGGGAACAGGTGTGAGCCTGTGGCCGTCCCACCTCTCTGTGCCTGTGTGTCCTTGGTCTGTTGTTGTAGCCACCTGAGCCGAGATCGGTGAACAGAATACAGGAACACAGATTGGCATCACACATACTTCTTTATTCAGCGCTGGGCATGCGTGGGGAGCACCCAAACCAAGCAGCCCCGAATAGCAGCAGGGGAGAGCTTATCAGGCTGGACTAGGTTCCCAGGCTTCTGTGTGACTAGGACCTGTTTCTCTAAGATACAAATATCGCCTCTGTGGCAAGCGGGCGACAGAGGCAGACAGCACAGTTATTGTGCTCACCTCTGTTTACTGCCGAACTTTCCGGAGCAGTTCTTGAGAAACTTATCTTGCAGGGTGAAGCTAGCTTGCTGTGCTCACAGTGTTCTAATCGTCTAGTTCTTTACGTACTGGCCAAAGGTTATAAGCAGGGGAGGGGCTGTAGCACTGTGGGAGGGGAAGAAAATAAAACTACCCGCGGACCTGGCCCCAGGCCTCCCTGGCCAGGACTCGTGTTGCCAGTGACGCCGGGCTGCCCACCTAGCTGTCCTGCCTGGAGGCTGATGGGCAGGAGCAGCGCTGGCCTACCTCTCTCTCCCCTCTGGTCCCCTCAGGCTCCTCCTGGTCACCAGCCTGGTGGCTCTGCTGCTGGGGGAGGCCGGCTCGGCGTCCAAGCCCCAGGTATGTGTGGGCTGCTCTGCTCGCTCGCCCCTACCCCACCAGCAAGGAATGTGAAGAAAGGGCACTAAGCTGGCCTGTGACAGAGAAGGCAGGGCACTAATGTGACTGCAGGTCTCTGTGCAGTGGGTGGCCCTGTGGGCCCTGGTAGCGGGCAGGGGGGTCTGAGGGGAAAAGGCTCAGTGACACCTAAGTGATCCAGGTGGAGGAGGGGCCCTAGATGACACGCACTTGCACCGTGAGAGCACATCGTCCGTCCTTGGGCATCGCTGCCCAGGTGCGCTCTGTGCTAGGTCTCCTCCCCACCCCCTCCCCCACCTCCCTGCCTTGGGTCAAGACCACTCAGACTTGCACACCTGGGAGAGGGCAGGTGAAGGAGAGAGGCCCAACCCTTCCCGGCAAGTGACAGCTAGCTGGTCACTCCACGGGGTCACCTGTTTCATATACACCCCTGTCCTCCACAAGAGGGCGGAGCTCAGAGGAACTGGTCCCTCTTCCTCCTGCCGTCAGCCAGGGATGGGGGTGCAGATGCAACCCCAGGCGTTGCCCTGTCTCTCCAGTAACCACATGGCCTCCACCCAGGCCCCAGAGGGTAGGGGGTAGGGGGGTGGAGTTGGCAGGTGCAGTCCAGGGGGCCTTGGAGCCATCTCTCTCCAGGTGTCCTGACCTTAGACCCTCGTGGGTTGCATGAAACCCACACCTGTGACCCTTTCCTTCCAGGTCCTCATGGAGACCGAAGGCAAAGTTGGAGCCGCTGAGCAGGACACTGAGGAGTGAGTGTCCCCTGCTGCTGCCCCTTTCAGCACCCGGCCCCGAGCTAAGGGCGTTGCTGGATGGAGGGGAAACCCTGCCCAGAAGCTTTCAGGAGGCGGCAATGCTCCAGCCTCCAGCTGGGGACCCCATGACATCTGTCAGCAGCCAAGCAGAGCACAGGGTCCGAGGGTTCTAGGCTGATCCCCTAGGGTGGCTATCCCCTCACCGCCCGGGGCTGTGGCCTCAGCAGAGCCACTTCTAAGCCATGACCCCATCCCTGCATCCACATGAGGCAACCTCAGCTGGTTCCTCCCCCAGGGCCACGCCCGGCCGGGCCAGAGGACACAGTGTGACTCCCCGGCCTGCACAGGCCTGACGTGTGGAACAGGTGGGCTCGTGCCCAAGCTCTCTGGGTCTCCGTGGCCCAGGGCTGTGGCCAGGGCAGCATCTGTGTTGGGCCAGGATGTTTTCTCAGGAACACCCTTGGGGACACCTCCCCAACCTTCTTGGGCCCCCTGCAGCACAGGGATGTGGTGGGAACGCCTAGCTTTCGGGTCTGGGTGCCATGGGGGCTACCTGGTCAGGGCTCTTGGGCAAGGAGGGGGAGAGGGATGGCAGTGCTTGTCCTGGGGCCCCAGGCCCAGCGGTGGGTGATGGAACAGAGCCACCAGGGACCCTGGTGGGGAGCAGTTTCCCACTAGGTCTCACCCCCAGAGACCCCCAGCTGCTCAGGTGGTGGGTGTCCTCACTGGGGGGAGGGGCTGGCTGCCTCCTGTGGCGTCTGTGGACCTGACCCAGCTGTGCTCCTAGGGTCTGGGGCGCCCAAGTTCCCAGTTCTCTGAGAAGGGACAACCAGCTCATGGGGCTGCCCAGCTGCGACCCGGAGCCTGACCGAGACAGCCTGTACCACCCGCTGCCCGAGGAGGCCCAGGACGAGGCAGGGCTCCGGTCTTGGGCACTGCCACCTCACCAGGGGCTTCAGGGGCCAGAAGAGGATCGAGACCACATCTACCACCCCAGGGAGGACTCCTGGGCACCCTGACCCCTCCTCAACTGGAAAAATAAAACCTTGCAGATGTGCATCCCACACGTCTTCAAGAACTGGTCCTCGCCTGCTCTGTCTGGGAGAAGGGGGGCCTGTGTCCTTCTGGGGCCACAGGCTTGTCCCCACACATCAAGAGGCCCCTGAGGCTCCCCAACCCAGCACCCCTGCTCCTGGAACGATGTGCTCCCCTCAGGCCTCCTCCTTGTATGCTGGAATGGGGCCAGAGGCATGGCAGAGGTCAGTGGTTGAGACCAGTCAGCCCCCCACAGGTGGGCCCTGGAGAGCACTTGGGATGACCGGTGAGAGGGCAGGGCTCGGGCCCAGACCCCAGTGCTCCTCTGCATGCCTGCCCAACGCTGTATGGTGCCCAGTCCCCCAGCACAGCCTGACATGGCAGCCACAGGGACAGGATCACTAGTTATTTCACACGTCAAACATGTGCCATTTGTGTGTGCGGTTTGTGCGGCATGGTGGCCCTGTGGCAGGAGGGGAGCACTTAGTGCCCTCTGCCCCCAGCCTGAGCTGCCCTAGTGGTTGAGACAGAAGCGCCAGGCAGAGGCCACCGAGCTCTGCCCCGGGGACGGAGAGCTTGTCCAAGGCGACCTCACAGGCCCCAGAGCTCCCTGTGTCTTTCCATGGGTCCCAAGCGCCTCTAAAGACCTGAATGGTGGCCATCATCCTGCCGCTCTGCCTGACGGCTCACTGCCTGGCATTGCTATCCCCTCACTGAACAACAACCTGTTCAAAATCCTGTCCTAACAGGGCAGAACGGGTCCTAGACTCACCTCTGTGCACCTTGCATGCTCTGCTCTCACCCCAGACCTGGGTGGGGGGGAGATGCCCCAGAGCTGGATCCCGCGTGGCACATGAGAGGGTTCACAGCCCCTTGGGTCCCTCCCTCGCCAGGCTGAGGATGGCCATCTGCAAGCAGTTTGGGTGTGGGCAGCTGGGGACTGGTGCCCAGTTTAGACCCAAGATCAGTGGTGGACACAGTCCTGGGCAGCCCAGAGTGGTGTTTGTGGCCAGGTCTCTCTCCAGCATTTCTGTGGCTGAGGGCACCAGGAGGTGGGGCGAGCTGGGGGTTTGGGAGTGTGCGGTTGAGGTGCGCAAGCCTCAGGAGCAGGAGACGCTGGTGGAGGCGAGAGGCCTCTCAAGCGTAGACAATACCCCAAGGTATTTAACTGTACACTTTAAATGTGTAGTTTATGATGTCAGTTAAGTCTCAATAAAGCTGTTTAAAGAAAAGCCTTTGTGGGGCTACAAGTGGAGTCATGGGTCTGAGGTTAAGCCCTGGCAGTAACTGGCCCAGAGCAGGGTCCCTTCCCCAGGCTGAGCCCCAGATCTGCAGCTTGGGGGGCTGGCCTTCCCTCCGGATTCTCTTCGACGTGTGGGACACCAACCCGGTCCCCAGCAGGGGGCCCTTCCCCAGCCTCTGAGGCCCAGGGGCCCCTGGTCATGCCAACTCCTACACCCACTCAGCTGGAAGAAGGTCTTAAGGGGAAGGGGAGGGTTCGGGGAGACCCTGGGGCCCACCCCAAGCCTCATGCTGGAAGCCATGATAGCTTCCTATACGTGCCTTTGGGCCTGCTGGCCCTCTGCCTGCTGCGCAAGGGGAGTCCTCTGGCACTTTACCCCCACTCACCCATTTCCCAGGACAGTTCAGGCTGCTGTGTATGCAGCAGGCACTCAACCACTGGAGAGAAGGAGCAGGGAACACAGGCGTGGGGCCCCGCTGACCAGTCCTCAACCTCACCAGCACCCACACATGTGAGCACCTCCTGGAGCATCCAGACCAGCCCCTGACACCTGCCCTCTTGGACTTGGACTTCTCAAAGGTCACCTGTGTGTCTGTAGTCTCTCCACTCAGGGCCACCTGGGCAGTGGCTCCACCCACCTTCAGGCCTCTTACATAGTCATGGCTCCCACCCAGGCCCCCTGTGGGGTCTCCAGTGAGCTATTGTCCCAGACCTGCAGGAGGGAGGGGAGCGTCACTTCCCACCTGAAGAGGCAGCGAGGGGGCAGAGGGAGGGGTGTTCCATGGAGCCAGTGGGTTCCCAGTGCTTGGAACCAAACAAGCCTTTGTGAGGATGGGGCTGCTGCTGAAACCTCTGGACGGAACACTGACAAATCACTACACTTTCCCACATTTTCATAAATTGGGTGCATCCCATTCCCAGGGCCCCCTCCCAGGACCAGCCTGTCCCCAGTTCTCCTGACTGGGAACAGTCTGAGTGCTGCTGAGGGGGGCCAGCTTCGGTCGTGTGGCTCAGAGATCCAGATTCCTCTCTGGGCCTGGCAGTCTTCACCTGGCCTAGAACAGGGCATCGGGGGCCAGCACCCCCTTCGTGAGGATGAGGTTTCCGTAGAGGGCCGTCTCCCTGCATAAGGAAGTGAGCTGAGCACCAGGCTGTGACCCGCTGCTCTGTCACCCACCCCACCCACTGTCACCCCAGGCTCCCGAGAAGTCCAGGGACCAGTCCTCAGATAAATGTGGCACTCATGTTCCCAGTGGGGCATCTCGTCTCATTTGGGGCAGGGCTGAGCAGAAGGTAGGGGGAGCTCTGGAGTGAGGAGGAGGGCCCCACGTGGCCCCGCCCCAGCCCGACCAGCAGGACCCCACAGGACCCCATCGGCCTGGCCAGAACTCACCCAGTTGCTACAACAGCAAAAGCCTTTTTGGCCCGCTCATAAAACTCAAACCTCTCTATCTTCGCCAGGGTGTTCTGGAAGGCAAAATGTCATGGTCGAGGGTCAGAAACCCTCACAGGCCCAAGCAGGGGCATGAGGTCACATGGCTGCCCTGAGCTTCATTTCTCTGGCTCTCCTTGCTGGGTTCCCAAGGACGCTTGGCCTCTGAGCTGTGAGGACTGGACGGGCAGGAGCATGGTGGGCTGTGGTGGCCATCGCCGGCGCCCCTGCATCCCTGGGAGCAGCCTGAAGGCTGCAGGGCCCCTGCCCAGGACAGAAGCCCCAGGCGCCCTCTCCTCTGGAGGTCAGTGTCCTCCCCAACACCTGCCAGCGGGTGGTCTGGGAGGCAAGCCCACCCCCTCCCAATGTGGGGGTGACACAGCATTGGCTGGGCCTCTGATCACAAGACAGGGGCCAGGGACACCCCACTTCCCTCTGGCTCCACTCAGACAGGCCGGGGTGGGTGAGGGACGCCAGGCAAAGCCAGGTCAGGATCCTGAGACAGGCACAGCCACATTCCCAGGGTCACTCTCCTGTGGAGGATGGGCGAGTGCTGGGACAGCTGTAGCATGGAATTCGGGGTCCCCGCCTTGGGCTCCTCCCAGCCTAAAGGAGGTGCAACTTTCCAGGTGGGGCCGCAGTCTCACCATGCAGCCGGCCCCGGACAGGATGGACTGGTAGCTCCTCCACACCGGAGTCTGAAGGCCCTTTGTCTTGTCGCTGGGCACCAGGTCCATGACAGCAGCCTAGGCACAGAGCGGTCAGCTTCGCGGCCTATCCATCCAGTTGCCTGGGGCACTACCAGGCCCCCACGCTCAGTGGCAGCTCAGGGGTCCTCTGATCAGGGTCAGAGCCCTCGGGGACACCTTCCTCCCCACTCGAGGCAAGCAGGACCCTGAAGGCTGACAAGAGAGCAAGCAGGACAGGCACTCACCGGGCTCTCCACGTAGGTGTCCAGGGGCAGCAGCTTTAGCACGGCTTCCAGGAGCTGTGGGATGCCCAGGCCTGAGGGCACAGTGCCAGCCTGAGACTCCAGCCCTCTCCCACCTGGCTGCCGACGGTGCCATGTGCCCTCTTGGCCTGTCCACACCGTTTCCCCTGGGCCTCATTCAGCGGGCCAGCAAGGAAGCCCTTGGGCCCAGGACAGAGAAGGCCCTGCAGGCACATGCTGCCCGCCTGGGAACACTTACTGGAGTCACAGTGGCATCTCCCCGCCCTGGCCACAGCAGCTGTGGCCATTCTGGCCATGGGCCTGCCCTGCCCTTCGCCCTTCATTGCACTACGCAGGGTACTGGTGGTGACCTCAAATACTCATCCGCCAGGAGGGACACTGGGCCACTTCCCTGACCCCAGAAGTCCCCCAACATGACCCTTGGGTTGAAACTTTTATCCCACGGTGAGCATAGTAGGGTCTGGGAAGAGGCTGCTCTTGCCCCAGGCTGTCCCCAAACATGCCCCGCTGTCCCCACGACCCCTGCTTTCCTGTAAAGTTGGTTTCTGATTGGTAAAGGAACTGGTGCTCATTGTACAAAACTGGGAAATACAGAAACTGCTGGTGCAAAACCCTGAGCGCACTTTCTTCTGTTTTCTCTGCTTGCCATGTGCTTGCACTTGTCTGTGAGCCCGGCTCTGACCCCTAACTGCTAGTTTCCACTTACATGTAGGATGTGTGCGTCACTTGGTGGCTTGGCTGCTCCTTGTCTCATAGCATTTGGCCTTTCCCATGGCCCACCCTGTCCCATCCTCCTTGGGTCACCTGGCTCACAGTGTAAACTGAGGTAAAGCTGGCTCATCTCTGTTAGCAGAGAGTGGAAGCCAAGGCCACTGGGTCTGGAGCCAGCAGCCCATTGAACATGCCTCAGACCACTGGCCTGCTCTGTCCAGAGGGGTGGGTTAAACTCCACATTTCACATCTCTGCGCCTCAGTGACCTCACCTCTCCAGGGAGAGTCATGTCCCCCTCACAGCATTGCTGAGGGCAGGGAAACAGCCATGCTCAGTCTGAGCCCAGTGTCAGCCCAGGTAGGACAGGACAGGACGTTGGTGGCCTCATCTCCCCCCCTCCCCATGCCCACCCTTACTCCCCGTACAACTCCGCTACCACTATCACCCTGGGGATCTGGTTCAGGCCTCCTGCCCACCCCTGAGAGTCAGAGGGTCTTAGAAACAGAGCACGTGGATACCTGGGGCCTGTGAGGCCAGGTCACCAGTACTGGGTGACCAGTAAAAGTAAAAGTAAACACCCCTTCTGGGTGTACTAGTGCTCAGCCAGCCAACAAGGCACTGGGGCTCAGCTTCCCCACTTGCATGAAGTCACCCAGTGGTGTCTCAGATGCAGCAGGAAGCCCAGGTTTCATCTCTGGGATTGGGGTTGAAGAGGGTCCCCTAGGGTCCTGGCACTGGGACTTCCTGGGTCACTGGTGGGTGCTTGGGGAATGAGTGGGGGTGGGGGCAGAGCTGCAGCACTTGGGGAACCCAGAGCTGGGACCACCGCCCATGCACCCTACTCCTACCCTGTGGGAGTGGCCGACTCACCGTCAGCGCGGATCTCCTCCGGGCCACACCTGCATATGGAGGAGGTGGGGAAGTTCACGTCTGCAAGAACTGAACAGCCATCAACCTGATTAGACATCCCTTGGTGGGTCCGCGCATCCCATCTTCCAGCTTCGTGGGTGGGCGCAGACCTCGGGTCGCCTGCTCACTGCCCTCTCCCACCCCTCCTCCCGTCAGGCTTGGTGGGGACGGGGACAGGGAGTTTCCAAGTGCTGTAGAAACTGCAGGTGTTACCAGGACGGGCGCGGAGCTCGGACCCGCGGCCCCCACCCACCGGGGGGCCCCCCGCCCCCCGTCCGAGGCCCACGGCCCCAGGAAAAGACAAACCGCCACAAAGCGGCGTGGCCCCCGCGGACCTCTTCCCAGCCGTCTGGGAAAGGGTCTGGAGACGGAGCGGCACACCGGGCCTGAGGCCGGAGTTGGGAGCTTGGCCGCCGGGCGCTCCCCACAAAAGCCGCGCTGGGGGAGGAGCCAGCTGCTGGGACACAGCCACGCCTGGGCCAAGGGTCGCTGTCCTCGTGACCGCCTGGGACCGACCAAGGGCGGGTAGGGGCTTGGGCCACCGCCCGGGCCTCTGTTTCCTAAAGGAAGCGAGGCGGGGGGAGGACGGAGTGTCCCACTCAGAAGTGGGACGGGGCGGCCCGCGCCATGCCTCCACCCCAGGACTCGGCCCTTCCCTGGAACCGGGCCGCAGCCTCGGCCAGGACCCCTGCCCGGGGGCCCCGAGGCCCTGCCCCGCCGCGCGCACCGATCTCGTCTCCATGCCCCATCCGCGCCAGGGCGTAGAGCAGCTCCGGGGACAGCAGCGCCGGGACGCCCTTCAGCACCACCATGCTCCCGCCGTCTGGAGCGGGGTGCGGGTCCTCGGCGGAAGGGGCGGGGCGCCGCCGAAGGGGCGGGGCGCCGCCGAAGGGGCGGGGCGCCGCCGAAGGGGCGGGGCGCCGCCGAAGGGGCGGGGCGCCGCCGAAGGGGCGGGGCGCCGCCGAAGGGGCGGGGCGCCGCCGAAGGGGCGGGGCGCCGCCGAAGGGGCGGGGCCGAGCGAGGTGTCCCGGAAGGTTGGAAGCCCGGAGCCGGAGGGCTCCGCGCTGGCTGACCCGGCGCAGGGGCGACACCAGGCTCAGCCCGGCAAGCGTCTTCCGGGGCCTCGGGTACCCCGCCAGGTCTAAGACCCAGGCGCCGTGTGTTTGTGGTACGAGCTCCCCGCTGCCGCCTCTCATGGCCTCCCGCCCCCCTCCGTTACTCCCCCAGGCCTGGCTGACCCCCCAACCCCACCGCAGACCGTCGGGCCCCTGGTGTTGCTGAGTGGGGAAGGACGGGTCACACACACACTGTGCCAGAACCATCAGACTTCTTTACCAACATTCTTCCCTCAGGACACCCGCCGGCCTGCCGTGGAGTGGGGGCACCTGGAGGGCAGGCGGGTGTGGCCTCCGGGCTAAGCGGGTGTGCTGGGAGCACCCCACTGGCATTCTCCACCCTGTCTCCGTGTCAGCCTGCTGAGACCCCTCAGGTACCTGATTGGGGTACAGTGCCCCCTCCCAGGACAGCAGTGTCCTGACCTGCCCGCCCTCTGGATCTTCCCACCCCCACCCCACCAAGATGTGGTGTCCAGATCTGGGGGGGATGGATCCGTAACTTCTTCCCTTAAACAGAGGGAGCACCTTGCCTTCAGCTGGCCAGGGTCCTCTGCCTGCTGACCCTCGTCCCTGGACACCTAGAATCTGGATGCTGGGCTCCCTTAAGATCCAGAACCACTAACCATTTCAGGGTGCCACCCCCTCCTGTATGCTCCCTGCTGGAAGATGCCCACTTCTCCAGAGGGTCACCTCGCAGCCTGTCTGTGTCCAGGGCTGTGCCAGGATGTGGTTCCAGGGCCTGATCCTGGTTGAGCAGGGAGCCGACTGTTTGCCATCCCACAGTGCCATGGGCACACCTCCACTGAAAGATGGGGTTTGTTCCCCTTCCTTGAACCAGGTGGGCCTTTGTAAATGCTTCAACCAATAGAGCATGCTGGAAATGGTGCTGTCTGGCTTCTGAGGTTAGGTCATAAAAGGCGTCAAGGCTTCCTCCTGATTCCTCAGAACGCTTGTCCAGGGAATGCAGACCCCGTATTGGCAGGAAGCCCCGGGGCACATGGAGAGCCTCCCTGTGGGTATTTTCGTCCTTGGCCCCAGCCAGCCCCGGCTGATGCAGCACCCACCACCAGATGAGTGAGTGAGTAGTCGGGGGGGTCCCGCTGAGGCTCCAGACACACTGGGGTAAAGACAAGCTGAGCCATACAGACTGTGAGAAAGAACAACTAGTGATTGCCTCCTTAAGCCAGTTTAGGGGTAATTTGTTACCCAACTCTGGCTGGCTGATGCAGGTGGCTCCTGGGCCCTGCCAAGATGGACGCCAAGAGCCCCACCAACACTGTCCTTGGCCTTCAATCTGTGTCTGCTCTTCCCATCCACTCCCACACTCAGGCTGGAGGGCGGACAGCAGAGCGGATGCCCACACATGTGCTGGCCTGGTCGTACCCCCGCATGAAGACCCACCACCAAACCTCACTGCCCCATGTGCAGATGGGGATCCGGTTCAGCTCCAGCCAGCCCACAGCCCCGGGGCCGCACCTCACAGGGCCGCCCTGCTCACCTGCCAGTGGGAGATGGCCCGACCCAGAGCCATGGCCAGGCTCTGTCCCTCCGGAGCCTACCTTCTTCTGCTTCACTGCCAGACGGACTCAGGGCTGTGTGGTGTGCGCTATCGTTATGACCCCCAGCCGTGTGGTTACGTGAATGGTGGGAGGCCTGGCTTCTCCTGGAAGCTTCTGTACATGAAAGACAACAAAGTTACAGCAAAAACTTGAAGAAAATAAAGATGTCTCTATGTTTTCCTGCTGGGCCCCGGGGAGCTTGGCTGGTCGAGGGAGCCAGTTGGAAACCAGTCTGGCATCTAGCAGGGCCAGGAATGCAGGGCCCTGGGCTGCCCGGCTGGGCAGAGTGGAGGCAGGAGCTGCCAGGGGCTGGGGGGTGGGGGGAAGGGAAGGCCAGCAGGGCCTCCACCCTGCCGTCGAAGTGGCTGCCTCCACCCTGGGTGAGGGCTGTGCCTGAGCAGTTTGAACTCCAAAAGGGAAGTGTGCAAACATATGAGGGAAAAGCTGATCTGATACAGATAGATAAGAAGGCAAAGCTTCGGGGGCGCCTGGGTGGCTTAGTCGGTTGAGCGTCCGACTTTCGCTTAGGTCATGATCTCGCGGTTCGTGGGTTCGAGCCCCGCGTCGGGCTCTGTGCTGACTGCCGGCTCGGAGCCTGGAGCCTGTTTCAGTCTGTGACTCCCTCTCTCTCTGACCCTCCCCTGCTCACGCTGTCTCTCTCTCTCTCCTAGAAATAAATAAAAAAAAAATATATTAAAAAAAAAAAAAAAAAAGAAGGCAAAGCTTCGGCTTCAAAACAAATCAAAATCCCCGGGGGCGCCTGGGTGGCTTAGTCGGTTAAGCGTCCGACTTTCGCTTAGGTCATGATCTCGCGGTTCGTGGGTTCGAGCCCCGCGTCGGGCTCTGTGCTGACTGCCAGCTCAGAGCCTGGAGCCTGTTTCAGAGTCTGTGACTCCCTCTCTCTCTGACCCTCCCCTGCTCGCACTGTCTCTCTCTCTCTCTCTCTCCTAGAAATAAATAAAACATTTAAAAAAATTATTAAAAAAAAAAATCCCAAACAATATGGGGCCAGAAGTCAATTAACTCTGAGAGAGTGGGAGCCTCGCCATGGGGTTTGTGGCCCCCTGCTCAGGGTGCCAGTCCTGCTCAGGGCGCCAGCGGTGCTTTCACTCACGGCCGCGCCTGTGGCCATGTGCTAGCCTCCCTCCAGCTCAGCCCAGAGCCCCCAAGCCAGCTCTCATTCCACTAGGCCTGGGGCCGGGCTCCTGTCTCTGCCAAGTTCTGGAGCCCAAATAACCCTATGGATGCAGACATTTGAGGCACAAAGAGACTGACATGCACATTCAACGTTTAACAATTTATTGGTTTCTGGCTGAGCATGGCTAAGACAAGGCTGTGAAGACAAGTCTCAGATGGGCCCCTCAAAACTGGCTCCTCAGGGGGCGCCTGGGGGGCTCAGTTGGTTAAGCGTCCGACTTTAGCTCAGGTCATGGTCTCGTGGTCTGTGAATTTGAGACCTGCGTTGGGCTTTGTGTTTCTCTCTCTCTCTCTCTGCCCCTCCCCTCCCTCAAAAATAAATAAACATTAAACAAATTTTTAAAAACCCAGCTCCTCAGAACTACGGGGCTCCATTGCTTGATCAAATTACAGAGGCTGCTGCTTCTTGCATGTGAAAAATTAAACAAATGGATTTCTCCAACTTTCGAGTTTCCTCCCTCGGACACCTCTGCTTGTTTATTCTGGAATCTACGATAGGTGTTATGTCATCCAGCACAAACTCCCAGTTATGCATTCAGCTTTACTACATGAGTATTTCCACATCTATTGCCAGGAAGTTGCCCAGCTTTCTGGTGACCTGCCCACAGGGAGGGCCTGTGTGGTCCGAATCCCATTCCCTCGTACCTACTTCTGCACGTGGTCGAAGACCCGAGGGTCATCTGCACGGAATGTCACCGTGCCTTCTGTCTGCGCTCTCAGCGCCAGGGAGCGGGTCCTACGGCAGCACAGGACCTCCCGGCCGTCTCTTCCAGAGCCTGCTCCGGACCTGCTGATTTCTGACCACAACGCACAAGAGAACAGACGGGTCCTGGGTGAAGCCTGCAGAGCTAATACCTGCAAGGCAAACAGTCTACACAGGATCAAAATTCCTGTTCTGGCCAGTGCCTTGCTTTACTGCACAAATGTAACCAAACCACAAGAGCATGCACTCTAAGGTGTTTAGATAGCCAGTCTTCACAGAGGTCACTTCAGTTCTTTCTCAAGCAATCAGCTCGTTTCCTGGGGCAGAGGGTACACACTCCTGGCCCCACCCCAGCCCAAGACCGTGACTGGATCTGCACATCCAGAAATGATCTCAGCTGTGTTCCAGCCTCTGGACTGCCTGCCCACACTTACCTGCAGGACACAGTGGAGGAAGTGACTGTCACAAGTGTTCCCGGGTCACCACTCAGCCGGAGGGACAGAGGGCCCCCAGGGACGAGTGCTCGGAGGCTCAGCTCCTGGCCCAGCCAGGTGCAGGTGCCCCCTGCGTGGGCAGAGCTCTGTCCTGGTTCGTAAGCAGTGCCCACCCCACGACAGGTGGGGCCGTCTGCGTAGAGCAGGACTACAGGGTGAGGGGTGAGGGCTGGTGTGGCAGCCGGCAGGCCCTTACCCCTCACCCGGGCCCATCGGTTAACCTGCAGCTGCCATGCCACACGCGCCAGTGTCGACAGCTAGCTGGGTCCCCACAGTGCCCAGCGCTCACCCATACAGACGCTCGTGTCCTGGCCTCACCTCAGAGGGTCTGAGGATGTTCTGAGGCTGGGGCCCTGCCCTGGGCCGCGACTGCTCCCTTCACCCATGAAGCTCTCAGGCAGGACACAGAGCTCTGTCCTGCGTAGGGCTTCCGCTCAAGCAGCTGGTGAATGGAGGGTTGGGAGCACCATGCTGTGCTGGCCCAAGAATTGAGCAGCAGATGTCTGGTGGGGTGTGGGGGGCTTCCTGTAACTGGGGTCCCTTCATCAACCAGTGCCCTCACGGGGTGATCCACCAGAGTCCGAAGCCAAAAGAAGAGACTTGTAGAAATTCTTTCTTCTACACCAAGTGGCACTCAGCGTTATGGACCCAAGCAGGTTCCACTGGGTTCCGGGAACTGCCTGATGCTTCGGAGACCTCGCAGGCCAGGGCCCCCACGGTTCGAGTCCAGGTCTGGGGGCACGTGTATTCCAGCTAACACCCAGGGGTTTGGAGGCACGTGGTGCTAACATCAGTGCTGGAGACTCAGCCAGGCTGGCCCTGAGAAGCAGCATCTAAACCTGCTGGGTTTAGATGGGATGGGGTAGGTAGGTCCCTGTCACAGGCAGCCTGTCCCTTGGCAGGCTAACTTCTCAAAATCTTACAGACATGCTCACACTGAAGTGCAAGGGTTCATGCACTGAATGTTCACCATGGTGTTTCCCACACAGCTCTGCTAACTGGAAACTGGATGCAGCCTCATATCCAGCACCAGGGGAAATAAACCACAACATCCCTGCATCACTATGTATTTCGGGGCCAGTGAGCAGCATGCTCCCAGGAATATTGCTCAGCTATGAAAAGAAATCAAACTCTATTATGTGCTACAACCTGGACAGAGCTTGGAAACATAGTAAATTCCCAGACACAGAAGGAAGGTGGCTGGGGCAGCACCAGGGCTGAGAGGTCACGGTTTGGGACAGGCGTGTTTAACGGGGACAGAGTCTCTGCTCGGAGGATAAAGCAGCGTGGAGATGGGCAGCAGGGAAAACACCATGAGTACACCTGTAGATTTAAAAACGGTTAAGACGGGGACCTATACATTACATAATTTTACGACAGGTGAAAGGGTGTTTGTCAAACACGAGAAGAGGGTGCACGTGCAGGACAGGACAACCGGTCAGGGCACTCTGGAGAAGCATGGATGCAGAATTCCATTTTTATAAAAAGAAAGCTGAGCTCTGTACTTGTGTGCACAGAAATATCTAGAAAGCTCCGTACCTGTTACCCTGTGTGAGGGGGACTTACTTTACGGACTCCTGTTCCGTGTGACTGTTGTCACAACAACAAAGTGGGAGTTTGCACAGTGACGTGATGCTCACCATGTGACTTACGTCCACCACGTAGTCAGCAGCGCCACCCTCGGAGCGGCACTTCACTGGCTGTGAAACCACACAGCAACCCAGCAGGCTGTGACACACTGCACCCACTGAGTATCTCAGTTTCTGACATCAGGTCAAAACAAACACACCAAAGGCTCGTGAGCAGAATTTTTTTTTTTACAATTTATTTATTTTGAGAGAGTGTGTGTGCACAAGCAAGGTGAAGAGGCAGAAAGAGAGAGAGACACAGAGAATCTGAAGCAGGCTCTGTGCTGACAGCCCCGATGTGGGGCTTGATCTCATGAACTATGAGATCACGACCTGAGCTGAAATCAAGAGTCGGACGCTCAACCGACTGAGCTCAGGCATCCTGAGCAGAATCTGATTAAGAAGAATATGCTTAGTCAGGACGTGAACACACTCCAAACACTGATTCTCATAATCGCTGGATGAAGACTGCCCACCGAGAGCACAAGCCCCGAGCAGCAGAGAGAAACTGCGTGTCACCTCCACGGCCCTTTACAAAAGGATTTATTTGCTTCTAAAACTGTCAAACTGTATTTTCTTTACATAGAGGGTTCAAGGCAGAGACAGAGGTGCTCACTGGTCTTTGAAATTGGCCTTTCTCTTTTCCACAAATGCAGTCATTCCTTCCTTCCGGTCTTCCTGGTGGGAAATGGAAAAAAAGCAGAGATGGACATTTGTGTTTTCCTACTGAGTCCAGTGCGGGGCTCAGCCTGTCTGGGGGGTTTGCTCCGTCTGTGGGTTTCCTCTGCCCTCTTGGTTTCCAGAGTGGCGAGGGCACAAGGAGGAAGGGTCCTGCACTGGGACTGCCTGGAAGCCTGGGAACGACCCAGATTCCCTGACCATTTGGGGCTGGCCTGGAAATGGCAGTTTTACATATCACCAGCCCCCAGGTTTGATCATTCAGGGACCACTGATTTATGTGTCAGAGAAACTCAGATGCACGTGTTTGGGTCATTCACCTGTCCTCACCTGGGCTTAGTGACGGTCTGTGTCGAGTGCCCTGAGTGCCGTGGAGCAGAGCACAGAGTGCAAGCCCTACCTCGCACCCTTCCCTGCGTGCACGCACGTACCTTCCCTTCCTCAAGAGCCAAACACATTTCTAATCTCGCTTTTATGAAACACCTACATATGACTTTCTGATAAAAAAGAGGTTTTAAAACTATTATAAGAAAGACCACCTTTTGGTTACTGTAAAAAATCCTAGAAAACACTGTTCTGAAGCTCAGATTGCAATATCATAATATATTCACACTCCGTTCCCAGCCATTGGACAGATCTAGGAACATTATGGGCAAGAGGACTGCATTTAAATATGGGAGCCTGGGGGCACCTGGGTGGCTCAGTCAATTGGGTGGCCAACTTCAGCCCAGGTCATAATCTCATGGTTCGTGGGTTCAAGCCCCACGTCGGACTCTGTGCTGACAGCTCAGAGCCTGGAGCCTGTTTTAGATTCTGTGTCTCCCTCTCTCTCTGACCCTCCGCTTCTCATGCTGTGTCTCTCTCTCTCTCAGAAATAAATAAAAAACATTAAAAAAAAATACAAAAAAAAAAATACGGGAGCTTGCTGTCTAAACGTGCAGTTCATAAGAACTCCTATACCAGGAAGTAACCCTGTAAGAGCTTCCGTACACTGTACTTATTTGCAAAAATCATGCTCATGGACAGGACACATCTGATCCAGTTATCGGGGAAGTGAACAGTTCAACCAAAGAGAAATGGTTATTATGAAAAACTCTACAAGGAAATTCTCCGTAATTTTTATGGCTGGGACACATGTGACTCCCCATCTGAATGCTGTTTACTCACAGTAGCGAACGTTAAATAGAAGAGCTTCTTCTCCAACTTGTTTCCCTCTGTTAATGTCATTTCAAAAGCTGAAAAAGAAAATTCTGAAGTTATGAACCCTGGTGCTAGATGTGGGAACATGTTAAGTTTTTTACAGTGATAAGGAACATTCCCCACTGAGACCGCAGCCTCGGAAGGCCTCCCCTTTCTCAAATGCACCACCCTGACTGAGCATCAGCAAAGCCACCTGCTTAGAGGGCCTCCCATGCTTCATGCCCAGTGGCCCAAAAATAGAGGCATGAGGAACTGAGTAAAAGGGTGCAATGATCAACTCTGTCCAGTCACAGGGGCATCTGGGAGCCTTTACAGAAGTACAGAAGGAGATATGGTTTATAAAACAGTAAGAAATAAGAATTAAAGGGGCACCTGGGTGGCTCAGTTGGTTGAGCCTCGGACTTTGGCTCAGGTCATGATCTCACAGTTTGCGGTACCGAGCCCTGTGTCAGCCTCTGCTCTGACAGTGCAGAGCCTGCTTGGAATTCTCCCTCTCCCTCGGCTCTTCCCCTGCTTGTGCTTTCTCTCAAAATAAACAAAAATTACCCCCCCCCCAAAAAAAATTAAAAACAAACAAAAAGAATGAAAACCGGAAAAAGGAACTTTGTGCCAGAACAGAGTCCTGGGCAGTGAGAATGTCATTGCTCTGGGCCCTGTCTTCCCAGCGAAGGGGAAGGGACTTCCCTGGCTGAGCACCGGGAGCAGCGTGTCCCTGGCGAGGGGCGGAGCAGTGGCAGGTGCCTTTGACTGGCCTCCCGGACACTGCAGAGACGGCAGTGTCCCCTTCTTTTTCTTTTTTAAAGTTTATTTACCTTGAACGAGAGAGAGAGAGACAGAGAGAGAGAGAGGGAGACAGAGAGACAGAAGAGAGACCAGGAGTGGGGGAGGGACAGAGAGACAGGGAGACAGAATCCCAAGCAGGCTCCTCACTGTAAGCACAGAGCCCGATGTGGGGCTTGAACCCACGAACAGTGAGATCACGACATGAGTCAAAACCAAGCGTGGGACACTGAGCCGACTGAGCCCCCCAGGTGCCCGGCAGCAGCGTCCCCTTCTGGAGTGTGTGCTACCCGCTCACCCCTGCGGGGAAGCGTCACAAACAGCTCATTCAAGTGAGAGCAGCCAGGGTGACTGCTTTCCTGCAGAGGAGCACAGGCCCAGGGAGCCTCGGCACACATCTTGGGCCCACGGTCTTCTCCACAGGCAGCACCCAAACGGGAGATAACCCCCCAATGCTGAAGACCATGAGCTTCGTTAAAACTCCAGAAATTCTCGGGAAGGTCACAGCCGCTCCGCTGGTAGAGGGCAGATGGAGTTTGGAGCAATGAGGGGCAGCAGGAGTCTGTCCCCAGTCTACATGGGTGTCCGCGAGCCTGCGCCGCCCGCCAGGCTGCTGACCGCAGCATAGGTCCCCGTCCCACTGCAGACAGAGAAGTATCTTCCGCCAGGTTCCGGGAGCTGAGCCGAGTTTCTCAGGAGCCAGACTGGTTGTGCTCTAGGCACCATCCTGCCTGTCCTGGCCATTCCCCTGCAGGCCAGAGCTTGTCACCCTCTGTCCCTCAGGCTGGCTCCTTCCTTGGGTCGTGATACCAAGAGGAACTCAGAACGTTTCAGGAGAATCTGTGAGCCAGCAACCAAGAACTAGAACTCTACAAAGAGCCAGGATCGTAACGTGAAGAGCCTTCACAATTTCTGTCCGGGGAGGGCTAAGATGCATGACTCAGAACCAAAGCCGTAAGGCTCACGACCGTCCCTGCACCTCCTCTTCCCAGCAGAAACCCCACCTGCATTCACGGACTCTTTGGCCATTGCTGCTATGATTTTAGAATTGCTGGCAATTTTCTCTGCACACTGGATGGCTTCTTCGACCAGTGTCTCCACAGGAAAAATTTTGCTTACAAGGCCTAAAATACAAAAAAGGTAAATAACATGGGAAAAAAGCACTGGTTATGTTTCTCTGAGTTGGGATGCTGCTCTGGGAGCCAGGGTCTTCTGGGTGCTAACGAGGGGCTGCAGTGACACAGGGAAGGCTCCCCAACATCCCCGAGGTGGGGCCGATGCCCTCAGCTGTGAGCTGACACATAAATGGGGAAAGAAGGGCGAGTCCCCCAGGGGCAGAGAAAGGGAGGGCCCGCCGAGGGTCTCCAAGACCCCCCACTGCTGGCACTGGGAAACAGGATGGTTTTCTGATGACTCTTTACCCAGATGTAGGTTTTAGTTACTGTTTTATACGTGAGGGATTCCTAATAAAAACCAAAGGCAGTTGTCCCTGGGGCTCTCGGGACACCAGAAAACATTCCTGGACACGGCCCTCCCTGTCCACTCAGCTCCCCATGAGGGCCGCTCCACGGGGCAGGGCTGGCCCCCACCTGCTTGCTTGGCGTCCTGGGCAGAGATCCGGTCGCCAGTGAGGACCATCTCCATGGCCAGTGACTTTCCAACCGCACGGGTGAGCCTCTGGGTGCCCCCAGCACCTGCAGACACAGGGGGCAGCAGGTCATGGCAGCTCACGGCCATGCAGGCCAGTCCCAGCGAGTTCTGAGGATGAAGATGGGCCCTGTGGGTGGCGCAGGTGGGCAGAGGGGAGGCAACTTAAACCCTCAGGGGAGGCTGCTTTGCCCACCGCGGCCCCAGGCCTGGCACGCAGAGCCCCCGGCACAAGCAGCTCTCCGGCAGGAGTCAGGCAGCTCAGATCCTGGCGCAGCCCAACCTGGAGGCCGGCGGGGGGGCCTCTGACTGTGACCTGCTGCCCGCAGGGCTGGAGCAAGACCAAGAGCGCTACACCTTGGGCTGCTGAGTGTGTCCTTCTCTCCAGTACTGGCTCCGTGCGCCCCATCCACCCTCCTGCTCACCTGATGCTCTGCGGTTGGAAGAACAGTGATCTGCCCAGTCACCTGCCCTACAGTGAGCCCTGGGCTGCCAGCGTGAGCCAAGGGGACTGCCTGAGGGAGGTACCCGTGATCCGACAGGCTTAGGTACTAACTCAATGAAGTGGAGGCCTTGGACACAGAGACAGGAAGAGGCCGGCAGTCAGCAGAGTGCATCTAGGGCTTTTCCTTGCCCTTATCCGAGCCCAGGCACCCTTTTCTGACCCCACAGCTGCTGCCTGTCTGCCTGGCTGCTCAGGAAGATGCTGGGAGCTCCAGGCTCTACCTGCAGAGCAGAAACCCTGTGGGGATGTAAGTCAGTAGCCCTCATCGAGTGGTCCCCGGGGCACAGAGGAGTCACTGTTTGCACACAGTTCCCATCACCCACCTCGTGGGGTATCTGATTCCCTGCTCTGTTGAATCTGGGGTCACGAGCAAGAATCACTGCAGCTATAATGCAATATGTAGCCGGCCACTCTTACTAGCATCTGACAAGGAATCGGGTTGTCATCAAGAGACTGCACAGCCCGAGGCTCTTGGGCCACCCTCTGAGCACTGCTGTGTCCACTGGGGCTTAGTGTGATGGTCGGCAGAGGGAGCAATGGGAGCAGACAGGTGGCTGCCCGGCCAGTGCTCTTACAACAGCCCCGGGCCCCTCGTCAGATGCAAGCTGCATGCTTTTGTCTATTACTGGAAAAGCTCTTACTTCCTGAGATGCGGGCAGATTCTGGAGAGTTACCTGAAGCCTGCATACTAGAGATGTCATCACGCTTTACCTGGGATGGTTCCTAGCAGGATTTCTGGCTGTGCAAACTGGGCTTTCTCTCCAGCATAAATGATGTCACACATCATAGCAAGTTCACAGCCGCCACCAAGCTGCAAAACACGAGGTGCCACCAGGAAATCCAGTCAAAAATTCACTCTAGTTGCCCAAATTTTCTGTTAAAATGAATTTGGCCCAAGGTGTAGCAAGATTAATACAGAGATGCAAAGTTAGTTTGGTGTCTAATAAGTTACCCACAAACGGCTGATGCTGGCAATGGGCCCAACAGCAAACTCCTTCAGCTCTGCGGATCCCACAGTCTCTGCTCTGCTGGATGGGCTCGAAGGCAGCCAGAGTTCACGATTTAGCAGGGAGGACGGTGGTCCAATAAACCTGACTGGCTGACCCCGGCGCTACCCAAGGGGAGCTTTGTTACGTGATCACGAACGGAGTTGCCCTCGTCACTTTGATACGCTCACCCTCAGTGCCTCTGAGTATCCACGTGCCTGGACACAGTCCCTGACCCACCACATGGAGGACACACGTCTCTCGCAGCAGAGCTGTCAGTTTATAGGTGTAGTGCAGGCTGCAGCCATATAAACTGCACAGAAAAAGCAGCACATGGCCTATAATCTAGGAGAGGGAATCGTTCCCAGGAGTCACAGGGGCCGCAGTGGGGACGGAGGGGCTCCCCTAACAAAGGCACCGGAAAGCCAGTGGTTGAATGTCCGCTACCGAAAGCCAGTGCTTTAACACGTCCTCTCTGTGGTTCCCGGGTCTTTGGTGTCAGTAGGTAGGAAGGGTGTGCTGGCTGGTGACTAAACTCTGGCCTTTTCAAAACAAGAATCGGTTATGCGACACCCACCAGTGTACTGAGAGGAGGCGTGGCCTGACACTCACAGCGTAGCCATTGACAGCAGCGATGACTGGCTTCTTGACCCGGGCAAGTCGGTCCCAGGGGCTCAAGAACTGGCTGGAGTAACAGTCCTGGAACATTCGGTTCTGCATCTCCTTGATATCGGCTCCAGCTGGGGGGGACGGGGCACAGGAATGAGGTCCCAGGTATGAGAGCAGAGACCCCGTATTGCCGCACTCCCAAACCAACAGGGGGCTATGGGCATGTGGGATGGCCAAGCACGACCCGTGAGCCAACGGCCACAGGGACAGAGCCAGGCAGGAGTGGGGTGGTGAAACGCCACGGCATGTGCTGGCGGAGGTGATGCAGAGGGACCGCGGGACAGGGACCGGGGCAAGTGGGACTCAGAAGGCTTATTCTAGTCACCTAACCCTCCACACACATAAAACCCGACTGTTGAGGACCCGAATCCATCTCACTCATTTTGCTGGTGGAGCACACTTGACTGTTAAACAGAGCAGTTCATTAGAGCAGTATCTGTGTCCATTTACACTTCACATTTAAATAAGCCCCAAGTAGTACTGAAGTTTCTGATGCTACCGTGGAGGTGTAAGTCTGCCTACAGCGCCCCATGCCACAGTCAGGCGCCCCCACACACCTGGCTGGCCGGAGGCCATGCTGCCCACACACCTGCAAATGCCTTCTCCCCTCCCGTGAGGACGATGGCCCCCACGGCAGGATCTTCCTCGAAGGTGTCCAGTGCCTGGTTGAGCTCTGTGATCAGGCCATTGCAGAGCGCGTTGAGTGCTTTGGGGCGGTTCAGCTGGATCAACCCCACGTTGCCCTTCTTTCCCTTCTTTTCTGTGATGATGTACTGGAAGTCAGCACCTGGGGCAAGAAGGGAAAAAGGATTTCCATTCACGTAGGCATCAAACTCGGGGGGCTTACCCCTGTCAGCGGACACAGTGACCCTGACACGTCCCCTGCCCAGTCCTCAGGCAGCAGCAGCACACAGCTCTCAGCCTCATGTGTAGCCTCTGTACCAGTCTCTGCCCTCACAGAAGTTTGAACATTTCCTTTAGTTAATAAACCCAGAACCCAGCAGTAAACAGCAGCCCACAGTGGCCCTCCTCTTCTGAATGCGCTAGTCAACACTGCCCAGAACTTGCGCCAGAGACACCCCGTGATCCTGCAGAAACGAGATGGGGAAAGAGGTTCCTTCAACAAGTGCCAACTCGGGCAGAACCAAGCTCCAAACAGAAGAGAGTAGGAGGTACACACAGGGTAAGGTGACTGCCACAGCCCGGAGGGGCAGGCCGCTCACACCTGGGGGTAAGGCCTGGAGAGGAAGAAGGGTGGCCCCGGAAGCCACAGGTGGGCGTCAGGGTGAGGATCGAAGCACCTACCCTGGGGGCTGGCTGCGGAGTAACACGAATGAAATGATTGCTGACCGCAGGTCAGGAGCAGAAGCGAACCATCAAAGAGGCGGAGGGTAAGGTCGACAGGCCCTGGAGGCGGGCAGGTAAGCGGGTACCCGCTACAGGGAGAGGATGAAGGGGTTCGCCCAGCTCAGGGACAGGCCAGGGGCTCCTCGGGAGGCCCATGCCACCGGCTGAAGGCTGCGTGCAGGAGGGGCCCACAGACTTGGGGCGAGCAGCGGACACCGGCTGGAGGCCTGCCGGACAAAACACGTGACCGTTTCCAATTCCGAGGCCCCCTCTGCACATTCTATCGAACTCCCGTAAACCAAACAGCAAACTGAAACGGCCAGCGGTCTCGGCACGCGGTCCTGATCCCCCGCAGCCGAGGGGCACCAGTAACCCCAGAGCCCAGCGAGCGGAGGCGGCAGGTTCTGGGCGGGGTGCTGGATGGCGCCCCCTGCAGAGGGGCGGGGTCAGGCCCTGGCGGCGACTGGGGGTGCTGAGGGGTCAGCTCCGGGGTCGGGCAGGGTCAGGCCCGGGCGTCCCAGGTGCGGCCGCGGTGCCAGACCCCCGCCCCGGGCCCGCGCCCCTGGCCCCACACTCACCCGAGGCGAAAGGGCGCAGGGCCGCGCAGCCGGGCAGGGGGCGCAGCGGGCCGCGGCCGCGGGACAGCAGGGCGCGCAGGGCCGCCATGGCGCTCCGGGGTAGACTCGCCCCGCCCCGCGGAACCGCCCCCGGCTCCGCCAGTCCCGGCCCGGCCCGTCTCCCGGCCGGTGTCGCGAGAAGGCGCGGGCATCGCGAGACCTGCAGCGCCGCGGAGGGGGGCGTGGCGAGGCCGGGGGAAGGGGTTGAGCGTCAGGAAGCTGGGCTCGGCGCCCGGGCGGCGGCGGGGGGCTGGCGGCCGTAGCGGGGTCTGGAGGCTCGGCGGCCCCGAGGGTGGACACCAGCCCTGAAGATGCCGAGGGCCAGGCCCGCCGCCGTGTGACCGCCCGTGGTGACCCGGGTCTGGCCGCCCAACGTGCTTGGAAGGGTCGCAGGGGCTGCCTGAGCCCCCTCTTGACCTTGACCTTTAGCCTTTGGTCTTTCCGAGCCGCTCCGGGCACGTTCCCCCACTTTCGGGACAAGCCCCGCGCGGCTTCCCCGGGGGGCTCGGGGGCCCCAAGCCCGTGCGCCCCCAGGGACGCCTTGAGTCTCACCCCCCGTCCTGCACCTCACCGCGGGGTCGGAGATCCTGCTTTTCGGAAAGAAGCTCTGAGATGCGGGGGGGAACGCGTTGGCAGCAAGGGCCCGCTCGTGAGGAGCTGAGCAGAACGGAGGGATGGTTCCGGAGCGCGGTCCCGGGCGTGGCAGGCATCCTGGGGGTGCTTCGCCCCCGCTTCCCCGCGCTGGGGCGTCCCGGGCCCGCGCGCGGCGTTGCGTGGTGCCCAGCACCGACGTCTGTGTATTTGTAGGCCTAGACACAGCGTGCGTGCAGCACCGTATGGGTGCTTCACGTTGACGACCAGGTAGCTGCTGAATACTAGATTATGGGTAGCTTTATGGAAGTAAGATTTAACTAAATTTAAACAATGACCTTTTAAATGTATTTAAATTATTTTGGTTATAACTTACAAGGGCTCAGACCCCCGGCCTCCAGTTGTATTTGCAGGTTCTGCAAATGGAGACAAAAACCAGATCGTCTACAAGTGAAAAGTAGAACTGATGTTTTAAATAAATAAAAAATTCAAACCAGAACCGAATACTCGGCAAAGTTTATTTCAAGGCTGAAAGGGTAGAATAAAGACCTTTTCATGCAAACAAACGGATCGCCAACTCTGTGCTAAAGGAGACTGTGTCCGGGTGGGCTACACCAATGTGACAAGCACACAAAATGAAATGGCCCCAGCGTGAAAGAAGTTTCTAAGACCCCAGGGCTGGTATTGAGTGACTGCTGTCCTCCATGAAGTTAGGGACAAGAATACAAGTGACAGAAAAAAATGTATTAGGCTCAAAATAAAAGTCACTTAACTTTACCAGCAAAAATGGGTTTATTTGGAAATAGAAAATTCCAATTAGGGACATGCAAGCTATTGTCCAGTCCAACAGAGGAGAGGAACTTTTTTTATGGAGGACATTAGGAAGCATTGCTTCAAACTAAAGTCCTTTGGAGAGAAGTAAGTTCCGGTGATGAGCATCTCTTGGCTGAGTTACAGGGGTGGTCCTTGTGCAGATGCGGTGTTCACCTCTTCCTGTTGGGTCCTGTAATCAATGATTCTTTCCTTTTGAGGATTCTTGTGTTGGGTCTGTAATTCACAATTCTTCCTGTAATCTGCATGGAGTGGTATGGCTCCCCCTTCTGGCCTCCGGACTCCATTTTGGTGAGGTTTCCTTTATTGTGGTATGTGTGTGTATATATATGTAGTATATATATATATATACATATATATATAAAAACATACTATTTGTGTATACACACACACACACACATATAAATTGGGCCTCAGGAAAATTGAAAGCTTTGTATTTCAAAGGACTCCATGAAGAAAGTGACAACCCACAGAATGAGAAAAAATTTTTGCAAATAATGTATCTGATAAGGGTCTTGTGTCTAGAATATATAAAAACACTTTCAACTCCATAATAAAGGACAAACCATTAAAAAATGGGCAAAGGAGGGGTGCCTAGACGGCTCAGTCGGAAGGCCGTGCGATTCTTGATCTTGGGTCGTGAGTTCGAGTCCCATGTTTGGTGTAGCAATTACTAAAAAAATAAATGGGTAAAGACTTGAACAGAAATTTCTCCAATAAAGATATGCAGATGGCCAATGTGCACACAAAAATGTGCTCAGTATCAGTCACTAGGGAAGTACAAGTCAAAACCACAATGAGGTATCACTTCATATACACTAGAATGGCTATAACCAAAACAGACAGACAGTGGCAACTGTTGGCAAGGATGTGGAGAAATTGGAAGACTTCATTGCTGCTGGGAATGTAAAATGATGCAGTCACTTCGTAAGATAGTCTGCCAGTTCCTCAAAAGGTTAAACAGTGTGACCATATAACCCAGCAATTCTACCCCTAGGTATATACCCAAGAGAATAAAAATATGTCTACACAAAGGCTTGTTCATGAATGTTCGTAGTAAGTGTTATTCATAATATCAAAAATGTGGCAAAAAACCCCAAATGCCTATCAACTTGTTAATGGATAAACAAAATGTGATATGTCTATACAATGGATACATTAAAATGGATTAGAATATACAATAGTATGTTATTTGGCAATAAAAAGAAATGAGGTGTCCTGACACTTGCGACAACGTGGATGAACGATACACTAAGTGAAAGAAGTCAGACCAAAGGCCACATACTGTTGTATGACTCCATTTGCATGAGTGTCCAGAATAGACAAATCCACAGTGGCAGAAACTAGATCAGTAATTGCCAGGGGCGAAGGGGTGTGAGGCACTGCTAAGAAGGAGGTTTCTTTTTTGAGTGATGAGCATGTTCTAAAGTTGCTCGTGGTAATGGTTTCACAACTCTGTAAATACCCTGTAAACCAATGAATTGTATACTTTACACAAGTGAGCTGTATGGCATATGAACTGTAATCAGTAAAGCCATTTACAAAAACTGGACAACCTGATTTACTTAAGTCACATGGGCAACATCACTGAGTAGCTGCAACCTTAATGGCCAGGGGTGGCCCTTAGGCTAATCAGCAGAAGCTCATGATTGAAACAAGGTGTGTCCTGTGTGTGCTGGAGTCCTCAGACACAGCTGAGTAGTCTACCCCTGGCCATGGCCATGGGACTTTTCTGTTTCCAAGAATGTGGGATGAGGATGACAGACCGAGCTACCAGTCACAGGGCTAGTTACAGCTGCAGTTTGACTCAGGCAGTGGTGCCACAGTGAAGGGACACACAGAGCCGGAAACTTCCTCTTCCACAGCCTGGGGACTAAGGTGCTCCCTCTCCCAAGTGTCAGCCTAGCTGTCCTCTCTCCCCAGCCATAAGCTCAGGTTGTGAACTTTGCCTTCTCTCCAATCACCCTCTAAGTGCACCCAGGCTTTCCATTCAGATGTAGTCTGCGTGGGCCACCACTGGGCCGGGGGAGGGTACACACGGAGCAGGTATTCAGCCAAGCGGTCCCTGCCTTCACAGTGTAGGGTTGCGTCAAATAAGAAGAAGATCCAGGGGATTGAGCCAGAATTAAGTTTGAATCCCCCAGACCCGGTTTTGGCCAGATTCTTATCCAGGAATGATCAGGGCAGAATCTCAAACTTTCTGAACAGGCCTCTGCAACCCCTCGTGATCCTGATCTTACCAGTGTTGACTGAGAAAAGAGGCAGAGTTGAAGTAAAACAAAAGCATCATTTGGTGTCTCAGATTTGCAGTTTGGGGAGTAGAGATTTGGGTAGCAACCCAAATTGTGCCCTCCTAGGGGAAAATGTCAAGGTTTTTTATTTTTATCTTTTTTACATTTATTTATTCATTTTGAGAGAGAGAGAAAGCATGAGCAGGGGAGGGGCAGAGAGAGGGAAAGAGAGAATCCCAAGCAGGCTCCACAGTGTCTGCATAGAGCTGGAGCCCTCGAACCGTGAGGTCATGACCTGACCTGAAATCAAGGGTCTGACACTTAACCGACTTGAGACATCCAGGCGCCCCAAGTCAGGGCTTTATTAAGACCGAAGGGAATGCTTGTATGCACTGTTTACTAAGAATTTTGATTGGTGTGGGCAGTAGAAAGCTAATCTTGGCTGAATATAATCGATTGCTAAGGCTATCACAAAGCAAAGTCTTTCTGTACTGCATCGCAGGTGTTTGGGCAGAGTCCTTGGAGGATTTGCAGTCTGGCCCAGTTCAGAGTTCATGGCTTTAAATGGTAAGGAAGTGAATAGTCCCATCCTTTTTTTTTTTTTTTTTTTTTTTTTTATTATTTTTTTTTTTTTTTTTTAGAGAGAGAGACAGCGTGAGCAGGGGAGGGTCAGACAGAGAGGGAGACACAGACTCTGAAATAGGCTCCAGGCTCTGAGCTGGCAGTCGGCACAGAGCCCAACGCGGGGCTCGAACCCACGAACCGCGAGATCATGACCTAAGCGAAGGCTGGACGCTTAACCGACTAAGCCACCCAGGTGCCCCAGAATAGGCCCATCCTTGAAGGCTTCCTGGCTCCATTTGAAAACTTCTTGACTGGGGCGCCTAGGTGTCTTAGTTGAGTGTCCGACTGCAGCTCAGGTCATGGTCTTGCGGTTCGTGGGTTCGAGCCCCACGTCGGGCTCTGTACTGACAGCTCAGAGCCTGGAGTCTGCTTCTGATTATGTGTCTCCCTCTCTCTCTGCCCCTCCCCTGTTCACATTGTCTCTCTCTCTCTCTCAGAAATAAAAAATAATAATAAAATAAATAAAAACTTCTTGACATAAGTGACTCCATTCTCATTTTACCTTCCACACCAGAACAGGCTGGCTGGTAGAGAAGGAGAAAGTCACAACCAATGAGATCCCAGATGCTTGGGGTGTGGACATCATCAAATACCTTGACTGAGGCCTGTTTCTGGGTGGCCACTGGCAGAGGACAAGGGACAGGATAGCCAAAAACATGACACTGGGTAGTTTCAAGGGTGATAGAGCCAGATGATAGGGCAGGGACAGTGACAACCCAGCCTGAAAATGGGGTTGCAGCTGTAAGACACTGCCGGCCACCTGGAGAGAGGATGTCTGGCCGGTTAGGCTGCCCCGAGTGGCCAAG